GCTGCAACCCGGCGTCGCAGATATTTATTCCAGTGATTTTTATTTACACATGGCGAAAAAGTGAAATATGTATATTGTATATATATACATACATATATATGTATATGTATATATTGAAGGCAAAGTAGAAACACAGCCGACACAACAAATAATTCATTTCCAGCGAAACGAAACAAGCAGTCACACGAAATAAAACGAATTAATACAAATTTAAATGAAACACAAGGAAATACCAAACATTCTTAGCACGAGCGTCATTAATGTACGGATTTCACAAAATGTGATTGCAACGATTGCCACTGGGGCAAAGAGTTTTGCTGCCTGTCGCATGGAACTGAGGCTCGTTGCCAGCTGGATGCATATGCAAAAATAGAAAAACTCTGGCCAACATTTAATTGATGGGTCAGCAGCGTGGCCAGAATTATTCGTTCTGCATCAGAAGTTCCCCTTTTTTCGATATACTCGGCATAAGGTACGACTTCTTATAAGCTATTTGTTAAAAGCTACTCGCTATAAATAACTCGCTATAATCTACCACTCGTTGTTAACTACTCGCCATGAGTTACTCGTTATAAGCTACTCGTTTTAGGCGACGAGTTTCTTTTCACAGACTACTCGCTATCATCCACTCGTTAAAAGTTACTCGTTGGTAATTACGAGCCATAATCAATTGTGACAAGCTACTCGCCATAGAAATCTTTTCGAAACTAATATGGCAAGATTAGAGCTCTTCGCTGCTTAGTTATTAACCAAGACTTATAACTTCGCTTTGCTCTTAGCACACCTTGAGAGCTAATCGGCTGAGACACTCGCTACAAATTCCCGCTCTTTGCAATAGATTCAATATAAACTTTTCATTGCAATCTATTCACTAGATATTACTCGTTATCAACTACTCGTTATGAACTGTTTTCTATAACCTACTCATTAAGAAGAACACGTTTTAAAATACTCGTTATAAACTACTCGTTACAAATTAATCGCTGTATGCTACTCGTTACGAACTACTCGTTCTAAGCTACGAGCTTCTCGTCACAAAATACTCGTTATGAGTTACTCCGTTGTAAAGAAAGAGTGATAACCACTTTGGACAAGTTATAGATATGTTCTTGTTAAATTTTCTCAAAGAATCATATTCTATAAAACTCTCGATACTATTATAACAATTTCTAGAGCGCAGCGCTTCGTAGCTATCAACAACGACCGTTTAATTATCAGCTCTAATATTACTTAGGGCATTTGAGATTGTGCTGCAAAAGCGCTCAAGTGCAAAATGCTCATCATCATCAACAGCAACAGCCACAACAACAATAACAACTACAGCTAACATCATCAGCTAATCAACAACTACAACAACGACACCCAACAATTGCTCAAATGTAGAGCAAAAACAATGATGGGAAGACAACAACAACAACAACAACAACAACAACAACAACAACAACAACAACAACAACAACAACAACAACAACAACAACAACGGCAGCAACAATTACAGAGTAACATAAAACCGAAAAGGAAAAAACAAATAGCGAAGCAGCGAGAGAGCATCTACAAGCCATCTGGCAATTAAATGATTGGCATTGATCGTGAAATTCGATAGCAATTGTGCCACACAGACAATTTACATACACTTCCAACGCAGACAAACTGTCTGACGGCGCGAAGAAAACAACAAAAAACAAAAAAAAAAACAAACGCAACTCTCGGTGGGGAAACTCTGGGCAAAATGCCAATTGCAACTTGAGACACTCGTCGCACTATTCTGCATACCCTGTGCCAATTAAATTGACTGATACAGGGTATTCTAATTCTATAAGTATTTATTATGAGATTTTATATTCAATATGCTTATTACAATCGCATTTCTAAAGAACAGATTTAATTGGCCTCTTTGGGTTTTCTACAGGGTGTTTCCTCCTGTTGAGTTTCTATTTGTATCTATTTGGGCTCATTACAGGATATTATTCCAATTAAACAGTCTCCTTGCCTGTTTTTACTTTGTGACTTTCGCTTTCAGTATGTTTTGCTACAGGGTATCTACCAGTCTTGAATTCTCTATTAGTTCCTTTTAGCTCTGTGCCATATTACACATTTAAACAGAATGCCCGCCTTTCGTCTATATGACTTTCGCTTTTCATCATTTATGTCTGAATTGCACCAGGGTACAGGGTAGCTGGCTGTCTAGCAAATCGACTGTTCCATGTCCATTTGTTTCGCTTTCCAGTTTTCTAAAGTTCCTCGTTTTATTCTGTGTACATTTTAGTCTCAATTTCAATATGCTATTGTAGACTGTGTGCGGGGCAACTCCGGATCTGGCACATTCGTCTGTTTCATTTCCATTTGTTTCTTCTGTTTCATTCGGGTCTTTCAGGCATGCTAGCTTCAGGCTATCTATGAGTGTGGCACTGACTGTTTCAAGTCCATTTGTTTCTTCTGTTTCATTCGTTTCTTTCATCCAATCTCCCTGTCAGGCTATCAATGAGCGTAATGCTTCGCTTCCATCCATTTAGAGGGTATCTACCTGTCTAGCAACCAGGTCTGTCTCATTGCCATTTGTTTCGTCGTTGCGGGTTGCTGTCATTTCCAATCTTAATCTATCTTGGTATCTTATTACAGGGTAACTATCGGTGTCACTCCCTTCTCGTCTCTTCCACTGCCATTTGTCTTATCTTTGGTGGTTTCTGCCATCTCCAATCTTAATTGCATCTCATTTGCATAGCTCGTGCGTTGGGAGCTGCCTAATGAGGCATTTTATCAGCCGCTTAGCCGAGACAGCAACCAGTGCAAGGCAGCGACCCACTATTGCAGCAGGCCCACCCCTTACCCTGCCCCTGCCCCTGCCCACATGCCACAGCCGCATGCGCCTTTTAATGTTTGGCAGCTGTTTACTTAGCCTCCTTGTAAGTCGTCACCAAGGCACTTGCCAGTTTATTGTGCCAGTTTTGTTCTCCTCTTTTTGCTGCTGCCTTTTGTTGTTGTCGTTGTTGTTGTTGTTAGCCATAAGTCGCAGCACATTGCACCACATTTAACGTGCCTTTTGTTTGTCGCTCTTGTTGCACTTGGAGTGGGTGGCATACGAAACATTTGCTCTCATCCGCAATAAATAGCCAAGAAATTCCACTGGGCGCCGCCAGAGGCCATTAAAAGTGTGCATTTGAATTTATGGAATACTGCCCCATCGAATCGTTGACCCACTCGCGGGGCAGAGGGCGGGGCAAAAAAAAATCTAAGTTGTGCATGTTAAAAGTACTTTTAAAACAATATACGCAAATAGTTTCTACATAAAACTCCGCTTTCATTTAAAGTTCATTATTTAAGTTTTACACACAGGCATATATATAATTATATATATTCTCTATCAGTACGATCAGCCGACACGTCTGTCTATCTATTCGTCCGTCCACCTGGTTTTAGAGTGCTCGAGTGTGGCATATAAGTGCACTTAAATCAAATAATAACGTCTTTTTTCCCAGCTGCAAATTTTGAAGTATGACGAATTTGTATGCATGCCCTTCTATGCGATTCTCATAATTTCAAGTAGGGGCTGGCACTTTCTGAGTTTTGTTAGTTATGTGAAAATATATGTGTATTGGTGTGTGCATAAAATGTTTCTTTTAAACAGTGTTGGTGTGTATCAAAAGTGGACCCCTCTCTCTATCTCTCTCTCTCTCTCTCTCTCTCTCTCTCTCTCTCTCTCTCTCTCTCTCTCTCTCTCTGACTTCCGCTTTCGCTCTCTCTCTTTGACTTCCGCTCTGTCTCAATCTCTTGTCAAGACTATATTTTTTGTTGAATTTCTCTGACTCTCACAGTTTCATTTGTTCTCTCATTCTCTTTTACTCCTACTCTTGTTCTCTGTCTTTCTCTTTCTTACTCTACTCCTAACTTTGCATTATCATATTCACAAATTCTATATCTTTCTCTCGCTGGCTCTTAGTCTTAATTTTCTTCATTTCTCATGTGTCGGACTCTCTCTTTCTCTTCGCTACACTCTCCGTATTTATTATCTTTCTCTCTCTCTCTCCCTGTTTCTCCCCCTCCCTCTCTGCCTTTTGAGGTTGTCTCTGTCTCACTCTCCCTCTCTGCCTTTGTAACTTATTTTCTGTCCTTCACTTTATCTCTCCATGTCTTCTCTTTATGTCACTCTCTCTATTTATCTCTCTCTCTATCTCTCTCTCACTCTGTCTTTCCTTTCTTACACTATTTTCTGTGCTTAAATTGTACCCTCTCCCTCTCTCTCGTACTCTTTCTTTCTCTCGTACTCTCTCGCGTACTCTCTCTCGTACTCTCTCGCGTACTCTCTCTCGTACTCTCTCGCGTACTCTCTCTCGTACTCTCTCGCGTACTCTTTCTCGTACTCTCTCGCGTACTCTTTCTCGTACTCTCTCGCGTACTCTCTCTCGTACTCTCTCGCGTACTCTCTCTCGTACTCTCTCGCGTACTCTCTCTCGGAACTCTCGCGCGTACGCGCTCACTGACGCGCGCTAAGACGAGCACGCTACGCGTACTCTCTCGCTCTCGAGCGTACTCTCTCTCTCTCTCGGACTTCTTCCTCTCTCTTCTCGTACTCTCTCTCTCTCCTCTCTCGTCCGGTTACTCTCTCTCTCTCTCTCTCTCTTCTCTCTCTCTCTCCTGTACTCTCTCGCTTACTCTCTCTCTCTCGTACTCTCTCTCTCTCTCTCCTCTTCTCTCTCTCTCTCGTACTCTGTCTCTCACTCTCTCTCTCTCTCTCTTACTCTCTCTTACTCTCTCTCACTCTCTCACACTCTCTCTCTCTCTCTCACACACTCTCTCTCTCTCTCGTACTCTCTCTCTCTCTCTCTCTCCCGTTATCTCTCTCTTTCTCTCTCTCTCTCTCGTACTCTCTCTCTCTCTCACTCTCGCTCGTACTCTCTCTCTCTCTCCTTCTCATACCCTCTCTCTCTCCTGGCTTGTCCCGCTCACTCTCTTTTCGATTTTCGATAATTTATGGACTCATGATATTTAATTATCTTTTGCAGAATGTGGTGGACCATAACTGGGAACTTTGGCAACATTCTGCCCATCGACTGGTCCAAGTCGTATACACGCCAGATGCACATGCCGACCCTCAATCTGGGTCAGAGCCGAACAAAGCAGCAGCAGCAGCAGCATAACCAGCTGCAGCAGCAGCAACAACAACAACAAAACCAACAACAACAGTCCAACACGCTGGATGCACAAACGCCAGTGGATGAGTTCAACGACTTGGCCAGCGAGGATGAGGCGGTGGCCAACGACTTGGACATGCATGCCTTGATATTGAACGGCCTGAACGGGGATGCTGACGATCATCCCATCAAGACGGTGGAGGAGGTGATTAAGGAAATTGATGACATCATGGATGAGGCCGAGAGTCCGCTGGATGAGCCCGAGACCTGTGATTCGGAGGTCATTGAGAAGGCGCGTGAGGTGCTCGGCGCCCCGCTTTACGCAGAGAGTGAGTAAACCCGCGCAAACTCACTTTGATAGCTAAACTTTGAACTCCTTTTTGTCTAGAATTACAATATCTGAGCAGCACACAGCTGAACGAGCTGTATATGGAAATGGAGATGCTCATCCAGGAGCTGAGCGAGACACTGATCAATGAGCTGGCGCTGCGCGATGAGCTCGAGTACGAGAAGGAGCTGAAGAACTCCTTCATATCCTTGCTGCTGGCAGTCCAAAATAAGCGTCGACAATACCATGTCGAGAAGAAGCGCGGCAAATTCCAAGGTAAAAGCCTCATTGCCTCAAATATATATATTATTCAGCTCCAATATATTTGAATCTCTGCTTCAGGTCCGGAGCCCAAGTACTTGACCACAGTCATACCGTATCATCTGGAGAATGGCACACCCAACAATCAGTCGCTGCAGGTGTTGATCAAAAGTGAGTGTTCGCTTGCGAAGGCTGCAGCTGCACAAGTGATAGTAACGCGGGAATCCCAATCTATTACACATAAATATATATATCAAAAAGAGAATAGAAATAAAATCGTCTAGATACGCTGATAATCGATTTTTATCGATTTTGGGAAACTCATAATAACTAAAATCGATGCATTTATCCAGGCTAGAACGAAGGCAGCTCTTCGTGCTGATAAAGATAATGCATATATATACCTCAAGAGCTCAGAGATTCCCCCTAATATATCAATATTGTAAAGTATAGGCAATATATAGGTGTAACAAGAAATGTAAGAAATAGCTACATACATATATCAGCTTCTTTTTTCATTCACGCTAGATCTTATGATATCCCTTTATATAAGAACTCATAATATATTTCTATCTAAAGACTGAATGATAACCTTTTAGTAAATGCCATTCGCAAATGTTTAAAAATTGTATACGAGTTTTAAGGTTATCTGAAATTCATTTATCTGAAAATTCATTTGAGATGTGTTACACACTTTCTGGACAAGGAAGGCAACGTTTCATGCTTTGTTTGATCTTAAATCTATTTCGCACAATATACTCTATAACTTTTCAAAGTTATGCTCAAATATACTCCAACTTTCTTGCAGTACTCAAGGCTATAAATGAGGACAGTCCGACGGTGCCGACGCTGCTAACGGATTACATATTGAAGGTGCTCTGTCCCACATAAATGACGACAACAGCAACAGCAGCAACAACAACAACAACAAGAACAGCAACAGCAACAATAGCTACAGCAACAATATACGCTCTATCTCTTTGTCTGTGTTTAAACGAGTATATATTATTTAATAATTAGTTTATATTACTTATAAATGTATCACATACGAATAATGTATTCGATATGAAATGAGCAAAAAACGCCCTAACACAAAACCCAAACTCTATTTGTCATATGCAAACGCTTCAAACTAAACGAGCTAAACCCAGATATCTAGCCTGTTAAAGCTATATCTTCAGCTAGACAGAAAGAGCTAGAGTATTAAGAAAGAGAAAGTGAATATGAATGTGTTTAAGCAAAGTACGTATTGCACGCAATACTCAAACCTATATGCAAAATTCTTAACTAAAGAAACAAAAACAAAAATAATAATAACAAAAACAAAAGAAAAGTATATACAAAAAATAAAAACAATTTACCATATTTAAACACAATGTCGCATAGTCGAAATGTTGTTAAGCTTCAAGAAATAATAAATAAAACAAAAATTCAAATAGCTAGCATATATAGATGAGCATGCCTATGTATTGTAATGCCATAAACATATATGCATATATGCATATATTAAATAATTGTCTATATATATATATATATGTGCATGTATATGTATATATACCATATTCTTTGTCATGTGTTCGTCGCTGTTTCAAACTGTCTTAAAGCCAATCGATTTGGAAACAGTTTCAGCATAAGTAAATATCGTATATGGTCAAACAAAAGTTGTTAATCTATACATATATAAACACACCATATATACATATATATATATATATATATATGTATGTATATATGCTAACTGAATGTTGGCTCCTTGCTCGACTTTTGCTTCAAGCTGTGCTCCCAACGAGTTTGCATTTTTGCTAAATCAACTCAACTCAGCATCAGGTTTATTATTATTATTATAATATTATTGTATAATGTCTAAACAATTGTTTTCCATTTTGTTGCAATTTTATTACTATTATTATAATTTTTTTTTTTTATTTTTTATTTCATTTTGCTTTAAGCTACTGCAATACAAAGGCACTCGAATATAATTTCTTTTTGTTATTATAATTATTATTACTATTATTATAATTATAATTATGTTTATTTAATGCTCGAGGCGCGCGCGTGGCCATAAAAAAAAGATGAAAAAAAACAGCGCATTTTGCTCTGTTTACAACAAATTCATTAAAAATGTAATTTTAATTTTAAATAATTTTGCATGCAAAACGCTGTGTTATCTACTTTTTATCAATAAATATGCTTGAATGCAAATCCAAATACAATTTAAAAACTTACAATACACAACTACAAATATATATACACGTATATATTTCAACTAAAAACACAAATAAATAGATTTAAATTGAGTCAGGCGCACAGTGCTTTTATTTAATTAAATATATATACATTTATATATATATATGCCTTATGTTAACTACAAACACAAAGCATAAACAGTCCAAAAAAAAAACAACAAGAACAACATTTATATCATGTTTCACATCTCACATACAACAAACAAAACAAATCACAAACTAAAAGAGAGAATTTTGTTAACTTCGGCTAACCGAAGATTGCATACACTTTTTTCGAAGGCTACTTTATCGACGATCTGATCTTTTTGGGGCAATTTCGTAGGCGTGTGCACCACAATTAATGCAAATCTTAGGTACCTTTGATAAACGAAAACGAAAACAAAAAGAAAAAAGAAATAAACAAATTAAATAAAATATGCATTCATACCAAAACTTACCTAAACTTGAAAAACAATCTACAAAATATAACTGCATAAATGTTTACGATTCATATACTAAATTTATATATACATATTAAAAGATATATAGATATATATATGAGCGCGCTTTATTAAGAAAAACAACAAATATTTACTTAAATGCAAATTTCAATGGCAAACTTTTTTTTTTTAGGTGTCAAAAAATTCAAAAATGAAATAAAAAAATAATAACTAAATACGTAAATCAAGCGAACGTGTTTGTAAATTTAATTGAAGTCCATGTTAAAATTGAAAGCAAGGCGTGAATATTATATTTATTTGATAAATTAATAAAAACCAAAAAGCCAGAGAAAGAAATAATTAAAAACCAACGCAAATAAGATGCATTATATATATACATATATACATATATATGTATATATAAATATATATATATATGTATATGTATATATGCAATGCAATGCTCTATATACAAAAGGAAAACAACTTTTAAATTGCTTAAATAAAAACCAAAATTACAAAAGCCAACAAAACTCTTGTCTCCATTTCCAATTGGAACTTACAACAACAAATTATATATCTCTCAATGTTGTCCCATAAAGGCACGGCCCAGTGGCAGTTACAAAAGTTATCGACCAGCTGCCACATTTCAAATGGTGACTGAAAGTGGCCATTGTTGTGCATTATTATTTGTAAACTAGTGAATGGTAAGGAGCGTAACGTTCATACATATTTATATTTATCAAAATTGTATTGCTTAGTTAATGTGTAACAATTGTTTTAACGAATCGCGCATTGTTTTTGGCCAGTGTGTACACGCTATTTGCAGCTGACAGCCAACATCGATAGCTGGCTGATTGGCATCGATAGCAATCGTGCTCGATAGCTCCCATCACTACGTCAACTAGCCTTGCCTATCCATAGTTTTTTTTTTTGTATCCAAACAGTAAAAATAAGTTTAAGCAAAAGCATATACACATAAGTTTAGTTTTTTTTTTTCGTTAAGTGTAAATTTTATTTATTTTTTAAGTGCGCGTTTAATAAGAAAATGTCATCGCGAAGGTAAATCCAATAGGAAAAACGACAATGTACACACACACACGAACACACGCAAGCACACGCACACACACACTGTCAACACATATGTACCATACACACACATACACTAACACACACCAACACACACACACACGCACACATTCCCGTACACGCACACACACATACACATAGATACACTCTGGGTCTATTTACATATGTATAAGTATATACAAAAAAAAAAAAATCAAAAAGCAAAGCAGCGAGAAAAAAAAGAAACAACAACATTGAGATAAAAAAGTGCAACAAAGTGCTGTGCAGTAAATTGACCCCCGCAAACACTGCCCCACCCCGCCTGCCGGCTCACAATTTGCAAAAGTATCGGTTGCGCTACAGCTACAGCTACAGCTACAGCTGTTGCTGTCTGCCACCTCTGTTGCTGCTGCTGCCGCTGCCGCTGCCGCTGCCGTCGCCACCGCCGCTGTTGCTACTGTCACGTTACGGCAGCGGTACTCGCAGCGGATGCAGGGTGGCGGGGGCGTGGCAAGGCAGGTGGCTGGGTCAAAAGCGTTTGCTGCCTTTGCGGGCCACCTTTTGTGTTGTACCATATTAAAGATGTGCTCCCGATAGCGCGACTCACGCAGCTGTATATTGTAGTAGAACTTATATATTCGTGACACGAATATTCACAATGCTCTAAGATGTCTGCCTTGCACTGACACGCACACATACAGACACTCACACATGAACTGTTTTATTTGGTGCTTATATGGTTCTCTGCACGTCTTACAGATGGTTCCACCCAACGATATCGGGCATCGAAGCTGAAAAATTATTACAGGAACAGGGCTACGACGGTTCATATTTAGCGCGTCTATCATCTTCAAATCCGGGCGCATTCACGCTTTCCGTGCGTCGTGGCAACGAGGTAACACACATCAAAATCCAAAACAATGGTGATTTCTTCGATCTTTATGGCGGTAAGTGTCGAAACTACAAGACCAATAACAATAGCATTGCAACAAGTACAAACAACTATTTCTCTACCTGTTACAGGTGAAAAGTTCGCCACATTGCCGGAGCTGGTACAATACTACAGTGAAAATGGGGAGCTGAAGGAGAAAAATGGCCAGGCCATTGAGCTGAAGCAGGCGCTCATTTGTGCCGAGCCCACGACGGAAAGGTAAGTGCATCCGCATCCCGTACCTGGCAGACCCCAAGCCAGATGCCCTAACAGCGCAGCATCAACAACAGCTGCAGCGGTTAACAGCTGCTTATGTTTACATTATGTTATCAATATACATACGTAGCGCAGCTGATGTCGCCATGCTGTCTATTATACAAATGTATGTATGTGCATGCACAATACATACACGTGTATGCGTGTGTGCATGTGTATGTGCATGCATGTGCGCATGTATTTTTGTATGTATGCGTAATATGCATATATATCTATGCTTTCGCTCACAATTTATTTGACCCATTTCTAAATACACTTTTACTCGAGTGTTTTACAATTTTGCAATGAAATTCGCAACAAAATGTCATATGCTTGATATACGTCATGCATCGGGTCTATTTATACCAGACTCTTAGCTTCTATTTGGATATATGCTTATATTTGCGAAGTACTGAATTGCATTGATTATTTGACTGATCATTCCTCTGGCAATTGTATGATATTGAGATCAGACAAGCAATAAGACGAATCTATAAAAACTCTTATAATGATAGATTTTTGAGGTCGCAGATATGTGTCTATGCCTTACACATATCGTTCCAAATTTATAATAACCGTTGTAGAAGTATACAATTCGTAAATGTTAAATATTGAATAAATCTTATTTCAAATCCCTGGCTAAAATGATATTCCCATAAAAATCAGTTTGGTTTCAACAGAGCAATAGGAAATTCAAAGTCAACTTTCAATCTATTGTAGGCATGTGTCCAGAAATTTATGATCTTTGGCAAGCATTTGGGTCGAATATTTTATGTGAGCATGTATTTTTGCCCTTTAAAAATGTCTGAATGATGTTCAATACGGTTGTGAAAAGCAGGACATTCGGAATTCGCCAAAACATAACCTCAATAAACGAAAGCAGAGCAAACATGCCGCTGAACAGTTAAACTTTCTTCTTTTGTGCTTTTTGTGCAAGTTTTTGATTAAACAATCTATTGGCACAATCAATTCGACACGTTGCTTCGCAAATAATCAAAATTAATAAGCTTTACGCAAATTGTTGTTGCAAATTTTGCTGAGCGTCAGAGAGCATACGCGCGATCGCACGCGACATGCACGACGCACGACGCACGACGCACGACGCACGCAAGAGACGTGCTGTCTGCGGCGTTAACAGTGCGTGCGCAGCATTAACAGTGCACTGTAAGTGCTCATGCAAAGGATCTGTTACTTAACAGTTGTATGTTCTCAGCGGTAGGCGGTTAAGTGTGAATTTAATAAATGCGATTTAATGCAGAAACAAAGAAATATGTATGCGCAGATATATATATATATATATAGTATATAAGTATGTGTATGAACACCTACCAGACATTGCCCATAAATGCGTTGCATTGTTGTGGCTGGTGCTGTTATTGCTTTTTTGCAGCCCACACGGACACAGAGAAAAGTAATTTTTTCTTATTTATTGCTTATTAACATTTTTTTTGTCTGACTGTCAAATATTTTATTACCACTCAGCGTGGCTCTCTCTCTCTGTCTCTCTCTCGCTCTCTCACGCGCGCTCTCTCACGCGCGATCTCTCTTTGTTAAATGCGTTTCCAATTTATTGTGTGCATTGTTGTTGTTGTTGCCGTTTTCCGCATCCTAACGGTCAGCCACCTTTTGCGCCACGCCCACTGACTTTGACCGTCTGCCTCTTTGGCTAATTTCGTTTGGGGCACTTAAAAATATACCCAACTGGCAAATTTCAACTGGAAACTGGAAATCAAAAATCATTTGTTTGCCGCGCGCTTTTTAACTGTGTTAAGTGCGCGCAGCTCTGACGCGTAACTGCTGCTCCCTTCGCACACACACGCGCGCGCACTGAGCTCCCCCTGCCGCCACGCTCCGCTCAACCCCGCCAGCGCAATCCACACCCAAATGCAATTTTTGGCATTGTGACGTTCTGTGGGTCGAATTATTCGATATGTTGTTGATTCTTTGGTTATTTATAATTTTTATTAAATTTTTTTTTGTTTTTTTTTTTTTTTAATTTAGCCAGCGCATAATTTTTGGCGTACCTTATTTATAAGCGGCGAAAAAAGTAGCTTGTGTAATAATAACCATCTGCGCGTACATCTCATTTTGATTTGCGCCCTTAACTGATCTCATTACGTCGATATCGGCCGTCAGTCGCACGTGACGCTCTTCCAACTGACGTCGGAATTTGCTTTTGAATTCCTCTAAAATAAGTTAAAAGCCAGTACGGACAGCTTTCAGGTTTTATTCAGACCGTTTGTTCTTCCTTGTTAGCGTAAGCTTTTGGCTTGGAGCAGCTTTTAGATTAATGGCTAGCTTAAGC